ATTGCCTTTTTCCTGTCCAGCTGTTTGTTTCTTCCTGTTATGGAAAACTGGAGGTCCAAGGACTGGCAAAGTGGGGAAGTTTTTGTACAAGTGGCTTTAACGGGGCTGTCTCTGCTCTGTCCCTTGTGGTTTTGGGTAACCCCTTGTTAGATCTCCAACTGAGTGCACTGCTCTCAGCCAGCTTAAACGTGGGGTTGGTTTGATTTCCAGGCAAACACGATGTCATCCGGGGTCAGAGCTGGCTTGGTGTCAGCAGATGTGCTGCGGAAGGAGCAGCAGGAGCTCCAGAAGCCAGACAGAAACATGAAGCACCTGGAAGGTAGGAATGTGGGAACGTGGCCCAATCCCCAGCTCACCTTCTCTTCTGCTTCGGCTGCTTTGGCTTTGGGTGACAGGCTCTTTGGGAGAGTAGGGCAAACAAAATGAAAGTTACAGCAGTTGGATTGCGTGAAGGTGGTGAAATGTTCCAAAATATGTGACTTGAGGCATCTATCCCTTCCAGAGGAATCCCGGAATGCCAAGACCGTGTTCCGAGACAAGTCTGGCCGCAAGAGGAACCTGGCACAGGAGCAGCTGGAGCAGAGGCTGAAGGCTGAAGCAGAGGCCAAGAGAGAAGAGCAATATGCCAAGTGGGGAAAAGGGTGAGGTGCTCCCGACGCTCCCCATCTCCTGCCTTTGGCCTGGTTTGGATCTGCGTGTGCTGTAGACCCCTCAGTTGTTCCCTCTGTTGCTGCACACACAGTGGGAGTTCAGGAGCGTGGCACATCCTGCAAACTGAACAAGTCCCAGGGAACGATTGCTTGGGTTTGGGTGAAACTCTGTGTTTTCCAGGCTGGCCCAGGAGAGGCAGCAGCAGCAGAACGTGGAAGATGCGATCAAAGAGATGCAGAAGCCCTTGGCCCGTTACATCGATGACCAGGATCTGGATCGAATGCTGAGGGAGCAAGAGAGGGAAGGAGACCCCATGGCTGCCCTCATCAAAAAAAGGAAGGCCAAGGAGAACAAGGAAAAAGGTTTGGCTCTGGAACTACGCCTGTGTGCGATTTAAGGCCTCAGCAGTGTAGAAAGGCAGCTGCTCTTCAGTAAATTGCTGGAACAGCTGAGTCCTGAGGGACTTTCTCTGCAGTCTCTGGAGTTATTGGCTTGTTACCAGTAATGGTGACTGTGATTTCCTAGCTCAGAGCAGGATCTGGTGAGTTAAAACTCGGCAGCGTGCAGTTTGCTGAAGTGTGCCTCTGGGAGCTTCCTGTGGGAGCTGTCCCTGGCTGGCAGGTGGCCTGTGCACATTGCCTGTGTGTACCTGCAGACACAAGAGCTCTTGGGTGGGTGAGGATGTGACCACCTGTTTGTGCTGAAAGCAGCTGTTCTGCTCTTTCCATTCCAGAAAAACCCAGGTACAAGGGACCTGCACCTCCACTCAACAGGTTTAACATCTGGCCCGGGCATCGCTGGGACGGTGTGGACAGGTACTTGTTCCTGTTAGAATAGAGTAAAAACAAGTGAATTGTGCTTCAGGGTGGTCATAGTGTAAAGTTACTGAATCCAGTTACTGGATGAGTGACATTGTTGGCAGTAGGGAATTTGAATAGATTAAGGTACCAGTGGGTGATGGGACAGAGGGGACAAGGCTGGTACTCTCAGGAGGGGTGTGAGTAACCTCAGAGGTGCAAATTATTGGTAACCACAGTAACCAGAGTAAATGTAGTGGAAAACTTGTAGCATCTCTACCAGGCTTTGTGGCTTCAGAAAAGCCTCTGGCCAGCAGCTTCTGGTCTCCTGGGTGTCCCTTTGCAGGTCCAACGGGTTCGAGCAGCAGCGCTTTGCCCGGATTGCCAACAAGAAGGCGGTGCAGGAACTCGCCTACAAGTGGAGTGTTGAGGACATGTAGGTGAGACAAGAACTGTGCAGAGCTCCTGGAGTGATCCCCTGGACATCACCCGCTGCCAAAGCTGTGAGGAATGGCCTGCTCTCCCTGGAACAAGCCCTGTCCTTGGCATTCAGTATCCCAGGGCCATCTTCCGAGAGGCAAGGCTGGATTTCCCTGTCAGCCAGGGACAACCTGCAGGGGCCACTGCCTGCAGGAGCCCCCAGCTCTCTGTGGAAGACACTGGTTTCTGGTCCCTTTAGTTATCTTGTAACAAACTCTTTTGTTCTATGCCAAATGCTTTGACCTCTGAGGGCAGTTCCCAAGTCTCAGGTGTCCTGAATCTCAGGTGAAAATGTGCTTGGTCACTAGAGAGTTACACTCGCGCAGTGGGTCGGCCTGCTCCAGAACTCAGCTTAAGTTTAGCCTCTGAACTTCTGCTGAGTTTGTGTAGTTATTGTGCTCTGTAGATCCCAGAGTCACCACAGTGCAGTGAAGTTCGAACTCAGCTTCTCCTGGCCCTGTCCAAGCAGGAAAGTGAGCAGGGAATGCTCTGGCACTAGAAGAGCGACCTGCTTTGGGCAGCAGGATCTTCTGGAGCGCCAGCAACTCTTTGTGGAGGGTCCATTTCTTGTGGAAGTAAACGTATGGAGAGTGGTTAAATTGCTTCCCTTATATTTTGGAGCAGCTGGTTCCCCCAGACCCTTCTGGACAGTGCTGATCTCGGCACTTCCCCAACGCTGCTGCCTGGGGCTCCAGTGTGAGGTGTAACAACCCCTCTCCTGTGATCAGATTTGTCAGTCTCAGAGCTGGAGACCAGGCAGAGCTTCCCTTATTCCCTGCATGCCAGAAAGCACTTGTGGAAATAAATACAGTTGTTCTTGCTGAGGTCCCAGGGAGCAGGGATGGAATGCAGGCAGCAGTTTCCATGGAGATGCCTCGGCTGCAGCAGTGGGCAGGGGCAGGGCAGGATCGCTCTTTTCAGGGATTCTCCAGCATTAGGAGGGCTGTGGGTGGGAGGGATAATGGCAAAATCTGCTCTGGAATGCCAGACTCTTGGGACTTCCCTTTTTTTTTATCCCTGTGTAACATTTCTAGCAGTCCTGGAATTGGTGTGTACACCTGTAAATAACACCTTTCGTTTTGTACGTGATTTTGTGTGGTGGTGGTTTTTCCAAGGTGGGTAAATCTTTCCCAGCCTGGGCCCTGTTGCAGCCTGTTGGGCAGGGAATGGTTTGGGAGTGGGAGGTGATGGTGTGAGGTGGGTTTTGTCATCCTGCTCAGTGTTTCCAGTTGTACTTTCCCCTTCTGTCATTAAGGTCCTATTTTTTTTTTTTTCCCTGTAACCTGAAGCAGGTGCAGCCTTGACAAGTGCAGCTCCACTTGACACACACTCATTTTTGCTCTCACTTATCAGAGTGCTGCTGGAAATGTAAAAAAACCTACTGTGAGATTGAGTTTGCCCTTGTGAGCAGAGTCGTCGCTCAGGTGGTTGCTGGTACCTTCCTCGCCTGCTTGGTGACAGTGGCTGCTCTTGCAGAGCCACAGTCACAGCTGGCTCGTGTCATAGCTGGAATTATAAGCTGCTCTTAGGGCAGTAAAGCAATTTTAATGCTGGTACTAAAAAAAGTGTTGTGCTTAGGACCTGAAAGCAGTATCAAGTTCTGCTCTTGCAGCTGATTTTGAAAGCTGGGGTTTAAAAATTTTAGAGGTGCTACCCTGGGGAACCTACTCATTCATCACAATGCTGGGTTTATACGTCTGGTTTATGTTTATTACCAGATATTTTACTTTTAAGATGTATCTATACAAAATGAGGGTATGGGGGAGCTCAGGTGAGGATCCTGTCCCCCCGTGTGCTGCCCAGGGAACAGGAAGGCAGGTTTGTCCCCGTGCCCTTGCTCTGCATCCCACATGCCCTGTCCCAGATGTGGCCTTGTCTGAGCCGTTCTGGCAGCAGAGCAGTTGGAAAATGCTGCGGGATCCTCTGGGACGGGTGGGGTGATGGAGATGGAGGAGTGACACCGGGACGTGGATCTCTTCATTAGTGGTTCTGGAAGGGCAGAGCCCCGCTCCTGGCATGGAGCAGCAGCTTTGATTAGCTTTAACCCAAAAAAATGAATATTAAAATCTTAATTTAATTTAAACCACTGTCATTCACAGTCATGGCAAACAGCGAGCAGAGTAATTATTATGCAAATGAGACAGATAGAAAAATGATTAATAATTGCGCAAATTAAAAATTATTGTAAACATCCTGTGACTAGTGATAAGTCGGGGAGGAGTGTGCGGGGGAGGCAGTGGGGCTCAGCCACCTCCTGCATCCCGATTCCCTCATTAGTGGGATCAGCTAACGAGGAGCCCAGGGGTGTTTGGGGGAAGCTGGGGCCTGGCTCCCGAGGGTGGGACAACAGGGCCGAGCTCAGAATCTGCTCCAGCTTCAGTCTTTACACTCTGTGACTCTGAGAAAAGCTGGGTTTAAGCCATTTTCCTCCTTTTTGGAGTCCCTCAGGTCCTGCCACTGCCTGTCTGTCCCTCTGGAGCGGGCACTGGCATCCCAGCAGCCTCGCCCTGCCCATCCCCCAGATGGGCACCTGCTAATGACCCTCGGAGCTTCCCCCACCAATTAACAAGCTGATTTGTCTGGTGTTCTGCTGCTGATTGCACAACAGTACTTCTTCCCCGTTTTCCTTTTATACTTTTGCCAAGGAGCAGGATAACACCAGTAATAGGCTCTCCCTGGCTCAGGGGCTTCTGTGGGCACTGCTCGTGTCAAGGACGAGCAATTAAGCTCGGCCTCACGCGTCGTAATTAGATTTTTGTTGATGAGCTCATGGTAATGTGTTTAGATTAAGAGCTTAATTCCTGGGGTGTGACACCGCCTGCCCCCAGGAGCCCTCTGCCCATGGGAGGGGGACTCAGGGGCTGGTTGGAGGGATGGTCCTGGGGATGGCCACCCTGTGTCTGTCCTGCCAACCTGTCCTGTCACACCTGTCCCTGCGAATGTGGCTTCTCTCCCCCCACCTGCCTCTTGGCTGTTGTTTTTTTAACAGCTCCAGCAAAGTGGGTTCTGGAAGTGCTGTGTTATTGCACCGTTTCCTGCTGAGTTCTATTATTTTTTAATTAAAAAGAGCCTGAGATTTGTCATTTAATTTCTCTCTAACTGGCAGCAGCTCCAGGTCGTGGGTGCTGGGAAGAGCTGGTGGCTCCCTAAATCGTCCCGGGCTTTCAGCACGGAGCATGGGGGAGGGTGCCACAGTGGGGTCCCCCCAGGGCACACACCCCCCCATTTCTTTTTGGGGGAGAAGAGTTTTTCCCGTCAACTGCCTCCCATGGCAGGGCTGGGAACGAAAATCCCTGAGACCGACAGGTTAGTGATTGTATATGCATATGTGCACTTTCCCTAATTATGGAATAATTAGGGACACGCAGAGATAAAAATTACTAATAATATTTACTCTAGACTCTATTTTTTTTCAATAACCTCTCTCTCTCTCTCTCTCTCTCTTCCTCCTTCACCGAGTCTTGGTGGAAATAACTTTGCAGATCCCAGTTAATGAATATTTGTAAATGCAAGAACATTCGGCGCCGGAATATCCAGAGGGCATCCTCTCTCAGCCTTGTGATTTTTTTTCACCAGATATTTAATATTTATGGTTCCACAGCCTCGTGAATAAAGAGCCACCCGCAAACCCCCAGGAGCTCGGGGGCCGGGATATTTATGGTGCTTCCTCTTTTCCTTTTCAATTACAAAGACACCTCACATAATTAAGTGCTAATAACCTTGTTAATCTAAAATTGATACTCTTTCTCCTGGCTATCTCTTAATAGAATTAAAAACAGATTAATAATCAAGGTTGGGAGACATGGCACGCAATCCAGGGAGAGGGGCCACGCTCCAGCCCCTCCCTGTCCTCCCGGGAGCTGGAGCAGGGCTGGGATGGGCAGCGACGGGAAGGGGGCTGGCAGGGAGATGTGCTTTCCCTCGTGCTCTTTACACAGCTTAAATTTTTAAGACAAACAGCCATGTAACACCATCTCCTAATGAAACTGTTTTATGTTAATTAATTATGTATCAAGGCTCATTTTCATGCGCAGCCCGGCTCCGCTTCCCCTCCGCCGAGCCTTTGATCTGTCAGAGGCTAAATGGGAGATAAATAATCAAATTGAGAAGCAGCCTGGATGGAAATAAACATGTTTTAGATGCGTTATCTGGTGGGTAGAGCAAGGCCCTGGGTAATTGGGCTTACGGTTCAGCCACGCTCTGCTGCACACCCAGGGCCTGGGAAATTTCCCGTGCCTCAGTTTCCCTGCGGCCACCCCAGGGGACAGCACCGTGTCCCCACCATGGAATGGGGCCACCCCTGCCTCCCCCAGAGTGTCTGCTCATCCTCTCCAGGAGCAGGAGGGTGTGGAGGACCCCCTCTGCACCACACTGATGAAGAATTTAAACTGCAGCATTTCTTTTTTTCCAGTCCACGGAAGATCCCGGCAGCTCCGGGCCACAGCCGCTCCGTGCCCGGGGTAGTTGGGATGCTGGCAGTGGACACCGTTTCGGCATAATTTAACACAGTCTCTACCAATTTGTTACATCCAAGAAGAGGCAGATGTGCATCCATATTCATTCTGGAGGAACTTCAGGAATTACAACTTCATCAGCCAAGGCCGCCCGCCACCGCCGCCAGCCCCAGTTCCTGTGCAGGAGGAGAAGGTGAGGATGGCAGTGCCTGGTCCCCTCTGTGGGGACAGGGATGGCAGGGCTGACCAGAGTGAGGCCCATGGCCTTGGCTGCTCTGGGGGATGCCCATGGCCACATCCCCAGTGACGGTGGCTGCTCCAGGACCCTCTGCCTGCTGGCACCTCTGGCCCCGGGGCCAGGTTGGTGCCCTGCTGTAAACCAGGTGTTGGTCCAGCAGTAACCGCCCTACAGAAGGAATTGCAGGTTATAACTGGAGTGCTTTATGTCCGCAGTGCCCCGGCAGTTGTTCTGGCCCGTGTGTAATTACCGGCTAACGAACGGATTTCCTCTTGAAGGGCCCTCCTCTGAGTGCTGCAGTGGATTAGGAGGGAGTTTATGGTATTGCAGCAGCTCCTCTTTGGGGTGTTTGGGTGGTGATGGGGTTGTTTTCTCTCCAGGGGCCGTGCCAGGACATTGGCCACATCCAGCCCTGCTCAAGGGGTGTGCCATGAGGTGCCCAGCCTAGAGGAGAGGAGCCCTGTTCCAGGCACAGGACATGGACACACCACATCCCCTCCCTGGCCAGCGCAGCTCCAGTGCTACAGGTGAGCACCCGCCACCTTCACCCGTGCCCTGGGCGGGCAGTGAGGGGGGAGCAGCGTTTGGCTCCCACAGGATGTCCTTGCTGGGATGCCAGTGTGTGTTCAGGAGGCTGTGCCAGGGTGCCATCGCAAATCCATCCCCGGGGATGGTGCCCAGTGGGACCAGCTGGCACCACCCAGCCCTGGGCAGCCTGGCTGGGTGTGCCACCACCCCTCCCAGCCCCACTGCCGCTGCTGGGAGGTGAAGCCGAGCAGGGAGCAAACAAAGAGAGCGCTCAGAGAGCCTTGTCCCCTCCAGCCTTGCCCCGGGCCCTGCCTTTGGGCTTCTGAAGGTTTGCTCCAGTGCTGTCAGTTCTCATTAATCCACACATCAAAGCTGGGGCTGCCAAACATCCTGGAGAGTTTGTGTGGGATTCCTCAGCGGCGTGGCAGGCGGGGAGGCAGAGGGGCAGCTGTGCAGGGGGGCTCCAATGCTCTGGCTCGTGCCCACGGACTCCTGAGAAAGTCCTGAGCTGCCAGGGCTGCATAGTGGGGGATGTCCCTGGACAAGAGACAACTGGACGTGGCACTCAGTGCTCTGGTTTAGTTGACAAGGTGGTGATCGGTCCAAGGCTGGACTTGATGATCTTGGAGGTCTTTTCCAACTTGTTCCAACTGTTTCTGTGATTCTGTGAAGGAAAGCCCCTCCTGCAGCAAGATCTCCCACGTGTGTCACGTGTGCAAGCAAGGAAAAGAGGTTTAGCAGGAAAACACACACAGAAAACCCTACAGAAGGTGCTCCTGTGCACTGGAGAGTGGGATTTGCCCACCAAGGTCCTCTCTGAGCTGCTGTCAGTGCAGACTGGGATTCCCTGCTCGGCTCTAGCGTGGCTCAGCATTCCTCGAGCTGAGCTAATCAGGTCAATGCATTTTTAACAGGGCATAGGAAATCTTTATATTTTTTGTCAGGCTCATTCTTCTCCCTCGTCTCTCTGTAGGGGCTGAATTATTTAATGCTGAATATCAAGCAGAGCTGGTTTCCCTTTGCCAGGTGCTGACGGTGCAGTTTCGGGCTGCTGAGATTGGCAGGTGGCTGCGCTTTGAGCTGGGCCAAGGGGGAACCCATTGTAGCAAGCAGATTACCTGCTTCCAGCTGGAATTACAGAGCATTGTGTCCCCCTTCCTGGCACTGGAACAAGAGGGATAGAGTTGGATAAGGGATGAGCACCCAGTGCCAGCACTGGGTGCTCACAAACAGCGCCGTTCCCAATTTTCCTGAACCCTAATCCTAACCTGTCTCCTGTGCACAGCGGGAATGTCTCCTGGAGTCTGGGTGTTGATTTCCACCCTGGGAAAGGGCTGGAAGAGCAGAGCAGGGTGCCAGGGGATGTGGCAGCCTCGCCCCAGCAGCTCCCTGGTTTGTGGTGTGTCCCTGATGGGGCTGGCAGTGCCCACCCGTGATGCCCATCATGACGGGCAGGGGTGGCCCGGAATGGGGTGACAGGCAAGGATCACCCGCAGGGCACACAGACACAAAAGGCTGGTTTGTGTATCGGGGTTTATCTTTCCCATTAATGGCTTTCTAAATTGGTGGCAGTGGAGCAAAAAACCCAATCTGAACTCGGAGCATGCATGATTACTATTGTAATAACCTTGGCTAATAAGAATATGATGTGGTGTTAGGCTGGGAAAGAAAACACATTTCTCATTAGCTTTTTGATTAATTACTCCACATAATTTCCTAGGGGGACATGCCTAGGACTGATTGCCTTTGCTTTTGACGCGTGGAAGTGGTTTACCTTAACTTAATAATTTTCTCGGTGACATTTTAATGGCAGGCCTCAATTAATCTCCAGTTGCTGGGTGGAGGGCAGGCCTCTCTAGGGGCTCAGAGCACCACCTTTGCCCACCCTTCTGTGGGGCAGGGCAGAGGATCTGCCTGAAGGCGAGCAATGCTCCATAGACAGTTCAGGCTCCAAGATCCTGGTCCTCCTTTCCCTGCCCCTTCCTGGTCATGCTTGGCCTTCCAGGGCTTTAAATACCTGGGAATGCAACAGCTGTGCAGCCACATCCTCACCCAGCACAGGCAGGGATCCAGCTGTTCAGAGGCATATGTTTACATGGCTTGGAAGCGACCGATTTCCTTCCGTGCGTTATAACATAAATATTTTACAGGAGCTAAAATATTCAGTGCTCGTTTGATGTTGCCACATGGAGTGGGATCAAATGAGGGTGGGAAGGAGGGGAAAACAGGAGAGGGGAGCAAGAAGAGACTCATTTGTTTCCCTGCCTGAAAGTGGAATGATGCTGCATATTTCTGTGTCGGGAAATTACCCAGAACAGCGATCTCTGCTCACTGCTGCGGGAGCAGGTGCTTGGCTGGCACTGCTGTGGCACCTCACGGAGCTGTATCCAACGGGACTGCAGGGGTAGTGCCAGCGTGGGAACTGTCCCAGTGGCACATCCTGCACCTGGGATGTGCATCCCACATCCCAGGTGCATCCAAAATCCCTCCCTACACTCTCCAGCCAAGCCTCTGCTCTATACCAGCATTAAAACATTGGCAGGTCCGGCCAAATTCCCCCTAAACGAAATATCAGCGTCATTCCAGGTCTCGCCCTGCTATCCTGGCATTTCTGGGGGTGCTGCCTTGGTGCTGCCCTGGGGGCAGCTGCCTGCTCTGCCCATGCCAGGGCTGCAGGATGGAGGGAGCGAGGCAGGGGGGTGCAAACCCTCAGGAGCAGGGATGCAGCCGCAGGCTGAGGAGCAGAGGGAAGCTGCTGCCCTGCACACTCGTATCCACTCCTGACAGCTCTGTGGGAGCAGGATTTGCTGGGCCAGCCGGGCTGGGAGCTGTGAGGCCAGGCCGAGCTCAGCCGAGCGTGCAGGGAGGATAGACGGGATTACCTCCCAAATCCTGCTCCTCCTGCTCCGAGGCTGCAGCTGCCTCCTCCCACAGCAGCACGGCCTGGGAGCCGAGGAGCAGCCCAAAAGGCACTGCCAAAGGTCTCTGCAGAAGCCCTGGGGCCTCTGTCTGGTGGGTGGGCACGGCCAGGCAGTACCCCCGGGCACGCCGGCCCCGCAGCAGGTGCTGACCGGGAGGAGAAGCGCCAGAGATATTTATGTTCCCATCCAAATGCATGGATCAAAGCTGACACTTTAATCTATTCAACAACATCTCAAGGATAAAAAAGTTGCAGGCAAATCACGGGCCTAAATTGGTAATATATTTTCGCTTGTCAGTTGACAAATCACTTTACAAACCCTTTCTGCATCTTCCTGTGGTTCCCTGAGTGTGCCAGGTTGGGATGTGCCAGCTTTCAGCCCCTGTATCCTGGGATTTGTGCCACACTCCTGCTCGTGGGAGATGCTCAGCGCAGCACGGAGTTAGGGCTGCTGGTACTTGGATTTTGTCTCTGGCCCAAAGTGTTTCTTCCTGTTACTCACATTTTACTCCTCTTCATGGCCATAAGGGTGGCTGGAGAGACAGTTGTCCCAGTCCACTGTGGTGGCCATGGCTCACCATCCCTGTGGATGCAGTCCAGGGTCCAGTGGAACAGTGCAGGAGTCCCTGCCAGACACAGTTTGGAGCAGAGGGAGCCGGCAGGGAGGTGGCACTCAGTGCCAAGGGGTTTTTCTGCCTTGACTTCTTTTTATTGAGTTTCTTTTTCTCTTCTTTCTCTCTTCTGGCCAGTGCCAGGCCGAGTTGATGAATTATCCCAATATATATTCTGTCTGGAAAGAAAACACATATCATATATATCTTTGACAAGTTATTATTCTTCCTTATCAGAATATGTGTGCATCCAGCCACGCCATAACTCACCCTCCGTGTTGCTCCCGTAAGCAGACGGGAGGAGCAGGGCAGCTCTGGCTGATCCCGTGTTCCCACGATGGCCCTGGCTGGGTGACCCCCCGCCCGGGAGTGCTGGGGTTGGGAAGACAAGCAGGGAGCACCGTGTGCCTCCACCGCCTGCCAGCGGGGGGGGCCTGGGCGGAGGCGAGAGCATCACGTCGAGCTAATTCGGCGCCTGCCTCACCTCCAGCTGATTGCTGCAAATTAAATTTCACGCCACTGAGCCGGAGGAGCCGGCGTGCGGCGCGGGAAGAGGGGTGGATGGTGGAGGCAATCTGCAGTGAGCTGGCACAGCCTCCTGCGCTGGCCTGGGGGGCACACAGGGTGCCTGTCGATGCTTGGTGCTTCCCGGGCACCCCCAGCCGGGTTGTGTCCCCCTGTGCTGGTCCTGAGCCCCTGCACAGCCTGGCACGGTGCTGCCCTGTGCCCCCGTCCTGCCTGTGTAGGGGATGCGCCAGGGGTTGGGTGAAAATCAGTTCACAGACGACTGAGCAAACACGTCTGGTTGTTCCTCTCTGGAATGACAGGCTCGGACTCTGGAATGAAGCCCAGCAGGAGACCAGCTCTGCCTGGGCTTCAGGAGTGAGGAATGACGGGCAGCATGGCGTGGAGCCGGCCCCAGGGGTGCTGGGGGTGCAGGGTGGGCTCCCTGGGGAGGGGAGGATGGGGATCCCTGCTGGTTGCCCAGGTGTGCTGTGCGTGACTGGGAGCAGCAGGAACGCTCCCCTCCCCACTGTAGTGCCTTTAATGTTTGACTTATTAAGATAATAACTACTCCATCTCCGCTGGTTTGAAACACGATCTAATAGGAATCTTACAACAAAAGTTGCCAAGCAGCCAGGCCAGGATTTACTAATAGACTCCGAGCGTGCTGTAACTGAGATGGAAATTAATTTAGTGATTAGGAGATTAATATATGGAGCAGAGCATATCCTTGCCTTTAAAGGCTGGGAGGAAGCACTGGGATGAGGCATTCCCGTGGTGCCTTCACGGAAGGGGTTCAACTCTTTAATCTCAGCGCTTCCTTCCAGGCTCCGGGGCGAGGCTGCGGGAGAAGCTGTGCTGCCTCATTTTCTATTAAATCCCGTCTCCTTCCCCAGGTGTTTGTTAGCATTCTTTTGTCTTCACAGACACCTGAGCCTGGCATTTGGGGAAAAAAAATCCCAAT